TCTACTACTGACTTCTGGTTCGCGGTGGGATTCACTGCAAGGCAAGCTAAACAAGATGCGTTTCAAAGCCCTTGCTGGCCTTTCTGCCAGGTATGAACGCGGAAGGGGCCAGTCTCTGCGAAAGATTAGCGGGCCCGATTCAGAAACTTGTTGACCATTAACTCTCTTGAATTTCCAAGCCTGGAATTGGAAGAAGCTTAGGAACAGCAAGGAGGATCTCACTGCAACGAATACAATGAAGGAGGTCTGTCAAAGGTTTCGTCAGAAGAGTCCTTGAGGTGCAGAGCAGCTCGAGGAGCTGCTCAGGGCCAATGTCAGCGCACTGTGGATGCCGGAGCCTAAACGTTCTGAATGGTCTGGCGATGTGATGTGTTGCTTTCTGAGTTGTTTTCGGGCAGCGAACATGCTGGCAACATGTTGCAGCCACTTCAGTCGCAGCACAGCATTTCAGCAAATCCATGTCCTGAAGTTAGTGACATGCGGATCATCATAGCCCGCCGGTCCCAACACCCTGGTCTTCATCACGCTCGCGTTGGCAAGCATCCATGTCCCAGGTCTTCTCTTGCAGCCAGGCCTGCCTTGTCTCCCATACCTTCATTTGTACCACCGCTTCTCTAATCCTTGCCAGCACAGAGTCACAAAGCCTGGGAGGATTTTGAAGACGGCTATCCATAGATGGCCTTCAAATGCCTTCATGGTGTTGTCTACTGGCGCAGTCCAGGAACGTAATCAGAAATCTAAGGAGCAACCTGAACCGTCTTTGGAGTTGAGCTGGTCTCGCATAGCTGAGCTTATATAGGGTTAATTTTTCATAGAACAGGAACCACCTCCCAGCTCGTTGCTGACTGCTCTGCAAGGCTGTGATTCAGAACCTTAGGAGGTGCAAGCAATCCTACCTGAAATCAAGAAGCATACAACTTTGTTTTATAGAGTTGCATTTGATCCCATGGTCTGGCTTGAACTGTACTCCTGATAACACGAACGTTGGAATCCAATGACGCTAGACAGCCAGAGGTCGCCGCATGTTTTGAGATTGCCTGACCTCGAGCATGGAGAGGGGCTTCAGCTGTGCTGGTTAGGAGCCCAGATGGTCAAGTTCAGACGAAGTATCTCTCCAAGTTGAATCTCCGTGATATGCTCGTTGGTCTCTGTTTCTGCTTGCATCATCACATGGTATTTGCACTGACCTTTCAGCAGTCTTCTTTGCTTTGGTAAAGCAGCTGCTGGATTCGCATGTCGCAAAGACTCCATGAGAGAAAGCGGCAAGAGAAAGCTGGACACACATAGAGCTAATGTAAGGGACCGGGCGTAAATGGCAGGGTTTGCTGTACATGCGGCAGCTGTCTAGGGCACCTAGGATGAAGTGGGCCAGCTCCCTTAGCTTTATCTCACATCTTACACGAAGTTGAACCTTGCACGCGTATACCTGACGCTCTACGAAACCTCGAAATGCCCAGAGTCGAATGTCCTTGCATCACTTACGCCTTCTTACAAGCATTGTTCTGCTCCAAGGTCGTTTCACCCGCACAGCTTCGACGTGTCCAAGACACAAAGTCTCAGGAGTTTGATCTGGCGATGTTTTCGGGTCTAGGTGGTAGTAGTTAGACTCGCTGGGCGAATTTGATGCGGCAAGGGGACTGCCACCCTCGAAATTACAAGCAAACTCCAAACATAACCGCACCTTGCGGTCCCAAGCCTGCTACCTTTAGAGACTTTTGAGCTCGGAAGGAAGGACGGCACGCTGAGCAAGAAGCCGAGCGCGCTGCAGACTTTCCAAAGTGATGCGGGCTTGAGCCGCGGCGACTGATTTGGGGCTTGCGACGCTTGCGAGGTTCGTTGGCTCATGGTTGGAGTGTGTTTTAGGCCCGGTTTCTACGGTTTTCGGTTTCAAGCCTGGTGATCTTCAGTCTTGGGGTCCAGCAGTCGTCACGTCAATGCCACCGTGGTTTCAGATTCCTGTTTGGTCTAAACACGCGGAAGGGGGCAAGCAGGTGAACTGTTCTCCAGCTCCAGGTTTGGCCTGTGCGAGAGGACAGTCCTGTTTGCATTGTGGCACCTCTGCATTGAAGCATCACCTTCACTACCTCAAAGTTGAAGGTTCCCCAGGCAGAAAATCCGTCTCAAGCAGCGTTTCACAGCATTACCGCAGCATCCGCAGCCACGCAAAGCTGGCCGGAACCAAGGATCAAGAGCTTGAGGACCTGATGCTCGGACCGCCAAGGATCGTGGCAATGTGGCAAGGTCAGGTTGAGGTGTGTCCCTGGGCTCGATGCCCTAAGCGATTCCAAGTTGAGAAGTTGAGGCCCAAATACTTAAGTAGGACGACGAGGTGTTTAGTTATCCAGAGAGCGAGTCATGCCTGGAAAGGCAAGAGGGTTGGAAGTAACAGGAACCAGCTGTCCGTGACGGTGATTTCTGATTTCTAACGGGAACCCAGCCCGGACTTGTAACCAGAACCGGCCCGTTCCAGCAACGTACCGGCTGGCCCGGCTGTATCGGGAATTGTCGGGAGGGATTAGGTCAAATGGACCTCCAAGCATGCTTCCGGACGGACGCTCCTGCTAAGAGCTTGTTGTTTTAAAGGGGACCGACTTCTGGTCCTCAGTTAGATGCATCCGGCCATAGTTGTTACAGAATCGCATTTCGGGACTTTGACGGCCTTCGTGGTACCGTCCGCACTATCCGCACCATTTGCACCGTCCGCACCAAAGCAGTGGGCCTTTTGACGCACTAGTGTTCGATTCCTTGCGAAGTCCGCAGGATAGTGCCTGATTCGCACGGCCAAAAGAAGACCATTAAAAAGAGGGACCGACTCTTGCTCCATTTTGCGAGGTCCGAGTGCCGTGCCTTTTGTCCTGCTTTCGGTTCCGAGTAGTTCCAGTCTCCCTGCCTTTCAAGTTGCGTTTGCTGTCGCAGACTGTTATTGTTAGTGGCTTGGAAAACTGGTGTCCGTTGCTTCAAATTGGTTCCTGTTACTCCCCGCACCTCGGCAAGAGGGTTGGAAGTTGCCATGACATGTTGCCACTGCAGGAGGTCAGGCAAGGATTGCAAGGGAGAGCAGCGTGCATGCCTTTGCTAAGGCATTGAGAGAGCCGGCGATCCAAGTTGTTCCCCGCTGACTTTGCGTGCCACTAGGCTGCGGGGGCCTGCCCTCTAGCACTTCGAAAGGAAGCTTTGAATTACCTGTGTTGAAGGTTGGTGCCCAAGTCTGCAGGGTTGAGGAGTCTAGACTTGAAGGTTCTGGTTGTGCAGACTCGAAGAGGCTCTGGCTGGCCGAGGCTGAATGCAAATTCCATGATGAAAGCCTGGCGTTCAAAGGTGCCAATGGGTTGCTCCGAACGTGCCAGCAAGTGCTTGTTTGACTGGAAGGGTCAGAGTCCAAGGGGAATCGACAGTGGTCCAGGCTTCAGGACTTCAAGGTCACTGCTGATAACTTGGAGGTCTGACTTCAGCCGTGCCCTATCTTTCGAAACTGTTTCGAATGTCGAGCCACAGCCCGTGAATGACGAATTCCGGGTGGGAATTTCAGGTGATGTCAAAATGATACAGACAAAGTGCTCAAACCTAACGTTGGCCGTCCACGAATTCCGCCTTGCCCTTGCATATCAAGAAGCTCTCAAGACACAGAAAACTGAGATTGGGGTGGCCCCACTTCGCCACTCGAGGCGGCGGCAGCTGGATTGCAAACTTTGCGCCTACAGCGGCCGCGGTGGCATGGATGCTGAAGGGTAGTTTGCGCTTTAGAGCGCTTTTGAGATTCAGATGCTTAGCATGTTACAGATGCACAAGCATGAGAAACCTGGTACGAATCCGTGTAGTTTTCGCGTGTGCTCCAGGAAAGCAGGATGTTGTTCACTTTCAAGCATCTGTATTGCATAAAGCAAGTGGGGAGCAAGTATACTGATTAAAGTCTGACAAAGCTGACAGAAACGCGTGCTGCTTGAGTTGTTGTTTAGCATGAACTCAGGCACTGTACGAACGATTCGCCGGAAAGGGCAGTGTTGTTTACGACGCCTGCAAGCATTCAAAAAATCAACCACAATATCGGTCTTTTCTGTGACTCTGCTCTTCTTTTCGCACCGGGCAGTAAGGGTTGCAAAAGAGCCAACAGCAGAAGTCTATTTCTGGCAGCATGGTAAAGCAGGATCAAGGGGTCCTAGTTCATCTTAGACACGCCCGCTGGTTGCAGTCTGCAAATAAGAGTCGAAGGCTTCAACCAGCAAAGCGACAGCACATCCAAGGCTTGTAAGTCAGCAAGCAAGGCCAAGTTACGAGGATCCTAGGATCCCAACTGCCTTCTAGTATCATCCTGCTTGGATCCTGCAGCGGCGGAGCGCAAGAAATCTTTAGCTTCCAGGATCCCTCTGCTGGTTGGGGAGGGCGCCTGCTGGGGGCGTGCCTTGACCTTTCCAGGAAGTTTCCGAGTTCTGAAGTACCAAAGTCACGAGTCAGGAAGTCATCATCTTCATTCGATATAGCAGTATGACTGCAGTTTAGTTAAGTGCGCTAAGCCGATGAGGGGATGTAGTATAATTACAATCTACAGGTTCCGATGGGCACATCAGGGGCTTGCTGAAGCAAATTCGGGAGACGTCCAGCCACCCTTCGGTTCTGTGGATCACTACTGCCCAAAACAAACAAGCCCGAAGAGCCGATGCTGGAAACGGTGGAGGGTACAGGGCAAGGGTTTAGGGCAGCTCAGTGTGGAACTACTGGGTGCAACTACTAGAGCAATTAGCATTCCAGATGCGCACCTTGAAGTTCTGTGGTCATCAAGCGTGGCAGTGGGATGTTTTTCGCTTCCTTCATTCAGATCTCTGCGGCGCGGCCTAAGGCGCCTGGCAGGGGTGCGGAAGTATATTGCCTGTGAACCCAGCACGAAGACTTTTGCAGGGTTGGAGGACCAAGTTGCTTTGATCTGCCGGAGGTGCATGCTCCCTGTCGTTGGACGTCTATAATTTCTTGTTGCAGAGGAGCTATCCGCCTTTGCGGCCGGTGACATGGAGGTGGGAGCCAGGGATCAACAACCATCATCATAGATATTGCCGGCTGCAGTTGAAATTTGCATTTTAATTTCCTCTACCCTCAGGTTGCACCTAAATGCCAACACTTTCCTGCATGTGAAGGCAATCTTCACATTTTTGCCGAGCCCCAGCCCTAACCAAAACTGAAAATCAAATTCCAAGCCGCCTGCTTCCAACACTTCATGTCCCCAAAAGATCCCCGAGGTTCTTGATCTCTCTCCTTCGGTAAAGCTGAGAAATTGGCGGAATGAAAAGGATTCCTCCTAGTAACTACATAAACAGTGATTCTACTACATCATGCCATAGTTTCCGTCTTCTTTTCCGATCCATCATGCCCAATCTAAAACAACAGCGTAGGTCGAGCTGCACTGCTGCGGCAGTGAGGCCAGAGCTTGAGCTTTGCAGGCTTAAACCCTCCATTTCTTTGGCCTCGTGCTGTCGGGGTGATCCCGTCATACGCATCCGCCGACGCCGTGTAGTCCCCTTCTTGTACGTGCCATACGAGTGGTACTTGTACGTCTCATTCATGAAGATCTTCCAGAAATTCCATCTGTAGCTTTGTATGCTGTACTTCGAAGGCGCTATAAGATGAGGCTGTCTTACCGACGTTTGCGTCAAATCGGACAGCAGAGCACTGTCACGGTACCTGAGATCTTCGAACCTGCTTTTTGCATTCCTGTGTCTCCAAACTCTGCGCGTGTTAGTACGTGGCCAAGGACACCGAGGACCTTGTCAAGAGCCCTGCCAGGTCTTTGAGCCCGAAACCGTGGATTTAGTCTTCACTTCACCGCCTTACTTCAACACCGTGCCCTGGGCAAAGTTGCACTTTGGGTAAACTTGAAACGTTGTTTCTATATGAACTTCCTCTTCACCAGGAACCATTGAATCAGACTCCAGGGCTCCAGGGTTCGTAACTGCACCGCTTCCTTTCAAGGTAGCAAGCACATGAGGAAGGCCACGGAATGTGCTGGTACGATTGTGCAGCTAGGGTTGCAATCCCTCACGTAGCCTGGCGTAGCAGTGGCGTGTTGCTGGACTTTGGAGCTTGGCTGATGTCTCGGAGCTGTGTGTTTGCGTTGTCTGCGTGCCTGTGCCGTTGGCTGAGGAGCTCTATAGTGATGAGGCAACGCAGAGCCATGTGAAGTTCCCAACAGCACAGGCTCCTTTGAATGCTTTGTGGTGTTTGATATAGTGAATTTCATGTTCAGTGCTTGGCGCTGGAGATGGGTCCATCCTTGGTTGATTGTAAGCTTACCTCTCAAGCGTCGTGTAGGTGACAACGCAAACTATCACCTTTGGTTACGCCAAAGAAGGTTAGGAGGCATATCTGGGAGTTGATCTAGAGGTTCTTGCGGGAAAATTTCATGTGGAAGGACCGACAGCATAAGAAGAGACATGTGCGCGAAAGATTTACGATGGCATCGCGAAAGTATTTTTCGTGTCTCAGCTCTTGTATTATCATTGAGACTATCTCTTTCAATCCCGTACTTCTTTCTTAGACTAACAATTAGAGTCGTGGAAGTTTATCCGCGCAAGACTGCTCAATATTTTCTCCCTATACGCTTAGAAAGCATGGCGCTGATCGAGATCGGCAACGTAAGTTTGTGCAAAAGTTTCGCGAAAGTTCCGTGTAAATACCGCGTAAGTCGAATTTACAATCTGTGGGCGCTCGCCGTAGATGTGTATAGCTAGGATAGTGAGCCCAATAGGATTCTTCTCACCCACCCGCTCCCGGGCTTCCCAGCCTCCGTGCTTGCCCTTGGCATCATGTCTAGGCTCAAAGATTTTGGCCTTGAGGCTTTGAAGGCTTTGATTGCTTAGGTGTGGATGTCGTAGTGCTGCTGGCTGCTGCAGGAGCTAGCTATCAGAAACATGCACAGCGCTGGGTCCGCGAAAGTTTCGCGACAGTTTTTTTTTCGCGAAGACAGTCATTTCGGGATGAGAACAACCCCTTGTCTGGCTTGTGCCGCATGGCAGAAGACTTGGTGGCTCTAACAGTTTGTTTTGAGAGCTACAGTTTTCTATCTATGGCAATCCTCAGTCATCTGTCATGGTGATGTGAAACTAAGCGAAGATCTCCCGGTACAGTAGTCACTTCCCCTCACATCTTGCATGCTCCTTTACTTGGTCAAAACATGTTCACAAATGCTGGAGGCATGTGCGTTCAATGTTTGGGGAATAAATTTGAATGGTGTCGGAAAAGCAAGGAAAACACCCGTCACCCATGCACGTCAGCTCCTGATTTTCGAGGTCCATTTTCTGTAATTGTAAAGGCCTTCGTGCCTGCACAGACAGATCTTGTGGACACTGTAACGTTCCAGTTCTGCGAATGGTAGATGCAAAGCTGCTACTTGAAAATCCTGAAGGCCTGTCTTCAATCCCAAAGGCGAAGATTGATTTTTGCAACATACAATGGTGTCTAAGCCGCACACAAAATTCAGCCTGCAAGTTGGGAGACAAAAATTCTGACCACAAATACGCAACCAAGATAGGCGTGGCAAACCTAGAAACATCCGCTCATGCTTCGGAAGCATGCTCCAACAGCCCCAGCCCCTTATTAGGCGGAACCTGTGTAAAAGTAAACATGGACCCCAAAGTTTAGGTAGCATTATTACAAGGGGTGACAATAGCGTTTTGTTGCCGGCCCGGGAAAGTCCCGGACAATCAAATTTGCTTTCTAACAAGTTCGGATCCCGAAAATATATAAACAAGTCCAAATCGCAATAATAAAGGGGGGGCAATAATATTATTGTCCGGCCGGAATCGTCTCGATTTTAATAGATTCCCTTCTACTTGTCCTACTAGTCCTACGAGCTGCACTACCTGGTCCTACCCATGTCCCCGTAAGCCCAAATCGCAAAACCAGCTCTGGGGGGGTGTTATTCTTGTTGTCACCAAAACATTAAACCCCAAGCCCGCAGCCATAAAGCCTGCCTGCACCTCAAACCCTCAACCTTAAAACTACAAGACTATTGCCTTAATTCCTAAGCCCTATATCGTGGGGTTCACGAAGCAAGGACCCTGAACCCTAAAACAAGACTTGGCGACTGGGATTCCTCGTGCCCACGCTCCACAACGCAGCAGCGGCGTTGCGGCCTGGAGGCTGCGATCAGGGTTTGGGGTTTCGCTGTGGAAATTCTTTGCCTTCCCTCGAACCGGAACCTTTGTCTTTCCAGGTTATTTCCTCCTTGCTCTGACGTCAAGGCGAACCCACCGCCGGGCAGGTCTGGCTGCTCGGTGCCGAACTTGTTCCCATTCCATGCATGCAAGGGCAGAGGGGAGCCAAGAAACGAAGCCTTTCAAGGTGTGCGTGGAGTCAGCTAAGGACCTCGAGGCAGAAGTTCAGGCAATCTCTTCAGACTTCGGCCTGCAGCAGGACTCAAGGATGCTTCAAACTTAGAAGGGGTTCACTGAGGGGATCCCTCACGGCTTGTTTGAGCATATGTAGACCCCACCATGCTCACAAAAAAGTTTCCAGGAAGCCTGAGGAAGTGGACCATCAATCTCCACCCATTCATTTCTGTAAGCAGAGGAGTGCTTCTCCTGCTCCTCCAATGGTTGCTCATGCTATCCTCAAGCCGTCGCAGATCCAGCTCAGAGCTTTTCAGAGAGCTGAACGGGAACTCCCAAGGAATTGAATTGTGCTTTGAACCAGGAGACTACGGTCTGGATGGAGAAGACCAGTTTCGACGAGCAGCCAAGGCCCGTCTTTATATGGAGGAAGCTGGATGCGACAAAAGTGGAAAAGGAGCTGGCGTTTGGGATTGGAGCACGGAGCATGGTATAAGCGCTTTCATGCCGCACCTGGGCAAGTAGAGCCCTCAACAATTGTTTGTGCATCTGCACTGAGGGTAAGGCTAGCCCCTGTTTTTTCCATAGAGGCTTGTGGCCTGGACCAAGCCTGTAAAACACTTCTGTGAAAACTCGCCGCGATGAGGAACGGACTTAATGGTTCACAGGGCTGAGATTGAGACTATGGAGTCGGGACTCTCGTGGCATCCCTGTCCACCACACGCAGAGTCATCGGGGGAACACAAATCTGCAAGGCCCGGCCCGAGTATTTGAGATGACGAGATCAGCAACGCTTCAGCCTGAATCAGAGTGAAGAACTGACCTTCCAAACGCTTGACTAGTGAGAAGCCTCAGAGCCTGAGGTGTTGAAGTCTAAGCCGTAAACCCAGTGCATGCCCAACCCCCAGCCGCCCAATCCCCCTAAAAAGAACAGGAGTGGGAAAGTTGAAGCCTCATTTGTGCATCCTAACGGAAAACCTCTCTGACGGCAAGCGGCAACTTCGAGTTGCTCAAGCCTCACACCAAAACCAACCCTAGACCCTAAATCATCTAAGACCCAGCCCACAAGGATCAACAATCTCAACTCCTGAAGCAGCAGCCTAACCTTCAGGTCAAAAAAGTGACCTCTTGTGCTTCAGGTGAGGTAAAGTGTTCATCACACAAACTGATGACATCAGAAGCCAGATCAAGTTGTCCCACCCCGTTACATGTGAACTGCATCACAGTTGAGACTCCTGTTTTTCTTTGAGTATTTGAATTCGAGAAGAGAAATCTCATTCGCAATTCCTAGTTTCACCTTTCTAGCGCATGACGTGGGAGATTTTTTGGGGACAGTCAGTGCTGCAGATCTTGGGCAATCCACCTGCATTCATGTGTGTCATGTGCAAACAGAAGCAGCTGAAGAGCTCGTTTCCAGCTCAAGGCGGAGTGGCAGCCTAAGCCATGGTTCCGCCGGGAAGCGATGGTTGCTCTTTCTCGAGGTGTAGCCATTTGGCCTTCAAACTTAAGGCATGGCCCTTGCGGAGTGAGGAAATCATGCAGATGACATGAAAGTGTCACGAATCGAGGTGAACGTAAGTTAGTTATCATTGATGTTAGGCAAGCCCTTCAAGCATGTGCTCAAGCTTCAGGTTTCGAGCTGTAGGCAAATTACGAATGCTTTCTTCCAGGAGCTTTCGTTTAAGGCCCAGCTTTGTGGGGGGCATGGAGGCCTTTAAATAAGGACCAATTCTGGAGTTTGCTAGGGGGTTAGGCCCCCACCCGTGGAGGGCTTCGGAGCCATGGCCCGCTGGGTCTGATTTGGAAGTAGTTTGATCGGTCTTGCCGAAATTGGGGTGCATTGGGGGAGCGAGGCGGTGAAAAAGTGGGCACGCTTCCGCCACCTGCTGTCTCTCGGGTCCAGGTCCTGTGCATGAGCTTTCGTCCCTCCATGGGCGTAAGTTCTGCTTAGCTGCACATGACTGAAGTGTGAAAGCTGGTGAAGCTCGTAGCCCTCATGCAAAGACCGCGGCTTCCCAGATTGCCAATGCATCGGCACTAAACTTTGAAAGTCTCAGCCCATTCAGCCTCATTGTGACTTCATGCACGTATGCTGGTTTGTTTGAGACAGTCATGGCAGCCCCAGGCACATCTCCTCGCCGTTGTCTGCCTGAAACTGAAACTGGGCTGAACGCTTTGGAGAAACCCGACAAGTCTATAGCAAGTACGTCATATAGATTGCGTGGGGAACAGCTGGGTCTTGGAAAACCAAAGCGTAAATTGACGTGTGCAGCAGCCCCCTTCCCAAACCCCTTGAAAGCTGCCAAAATTTCCCAAAGCCGCTGCAACCTCGTGAACCTCGTGCTCTGTGCAGTGATCTCGAGGATCTGCATTGTGCATTCCATCAGGGATGCTCCTGCACTGGGCAAAGATGTTGTCGATGAAAAGACCAAGGACAAAGCTGAGCATCTATACGGAACTTACGACCTTGAGGGTCTTAGACGGTTGTGTCAGTTGTGTCAGGTTTGGCGTTCAATTTGCAGGGTACAACGTGCTGCTTCCGCGGTGTGCAGCAAGGGTTGTTGCACTTGATATCCCTCTCTGAACCAGACATCCCTCGACTGCACGCCGCGACGGGCAGGACAAACCACTGCTGGAGGAGATAGACCAAGCGCAACTGAAGGCTGCTGACTACAATGGGATCGACGCAAGATGGAATGTAAGGAGCAGGGGTTTTGATCCCAAAGCACTCCGGTTAAAAGAACGATCGGCTTCAGCAATCGGAGCCAGAAACCGAACTGTCTAGGATATTCTAGCTATAAGGTGCATGTGTTTTAGTCTATTTGGCCTTGCATGTGTTTGGCTTCTGGGATTTTTCGCTTCACCAGCTTCCTAGATTCCATCCCGACATTCTCAGCACTTTTGGTACCTTCACGGCCAGGGTAAGAACATTTGGAAGCCGCAGAAGAAGACGCAGAAGTAGAAGACCAATGATAACAAAAATGAAAAAGAAGCAGGAGGAGAGAGAGAGAGAGAGAGAGAGAGAGAGATGTTTCAGGGCTTGGGGTTCGCCCCAGCAAGGCCCCAGGGTCTTGCGTAGCCCGTAGAAGAAGAAGAGAGAGATGTTTCTCACCTCATAAGGCAACGCCCTGCGAGCTTGTTCAGAGACTGGGCAAGTCTATCCCCCAATGGTTAGCTCCCCCGTAACAAAGCCTTATCTCTGAACATCACGAGGGGTAGCAAATCTGAGTATGCCCAACACGGGCTGGGCAGTGAAGCCCGGAGGTGAGAGCACGCTCTCGCCTCCACAGCCTGAACGAAAGAAAGAAAGATGTCTCGAAAGAAAGAGATAGAGATAGAGAGAGAGATGCCGTAGCCATTTTGGCTCAAGTCATCCTGCCGCTCCCTTTGGGGGGCCCTGTGTGACGGCCCTCTGTGCGGGTGGGGGTCTTCCCTGTCACTGCAGAGGCTGGACGTTCATTACAGGCGGGGTGGCTTGGGCAGCATACCATTGCCCATTTCAGATGAAGCCAGGTGGCCAAAGCCCTTCCACGGAGAGTACGGGGACAAGAAACTATTCGGGAATACCTTCCTCAGTGATCCATAGTCAGCTGGACTCAGATGTGTGAGTTGACCTTGCCTCTTGCTGGATAGGCCCCCTCCGTGGAAAACGGAAACTGGGACGATTCGTTAGCTAAGGTGCTAAAGGGGGTAGTTGAAATCACCTGCGTGGGAAATGGCTGTTAGATTGCAAACTTGGCAGTTTTTCGCTGTCTCCTTGGGAGCAGGTCTTGTAGCCTTAAGTGATTTGGAGAAACAAAGAGGGGAAGGGAAGCCATGGCCGCTTGGAGTACACTGCCTGGGAGCGCGGGAGCCGGAGATCTGAGCAAAGCACGCATAGAGGAGCCACAGAACAACGTGGAGTCGAGCTGTGTGCAAAAGAGATTCTACACATGTGAGTCGCATGGAATTATCAAGAGGAAACATACATACGCACCCGGCTGCAAAAAGTTTATAGAGGGAGCGACGGTGGAGCAGATGGAAAAAGTGGCCAAAGGAAGACGACATGGACGATCCAATCTGATGAGACAATTGAGAAAAGAACAGGATGGAGGATAGATTCGTCAAGGAAAGAGAAAGGTCGGTGCATGGAAACCGAAACCACAACCGAAGAGGCGTGGAACTCCGCAACACAGGAGGGAAAGGATAGCCCAGCCTTCAACGAGCTCATCGAATCCCACATTGTCGTCATCGAGCTCCTCAACGGCGCCAGAAGAGACAAAGACCACCTTGTCAAAGAAAGCTGCCGCCGAAGCGAGAAAAAAAGGTGCAGGAAGGCAAAGCAGCTGGGGTCAATGCGTCGCAAGCTTCAGCCAGCAGCACGGAAGTACCGAGGCATCCAAAGAAACAAGATCACCTACCCAAGGGAGAAGAGGAAGCCAGCAGCTCTGGGATAGTGAGAAGCCAGGGCCATCAGAGAGCATCCACAGCGCGGATGGTGGAGAGAACCCGACACGAGCCTGAGGATGACAGTGAGTCCAGCCCGGACATGGTCGAGGTCATGCTTTGCAGAAAGTGTGACAAGCCGAATAAAGAAGGACGCAAAGGTACAGAAGAAGAGGTTTTTCCTTTTCTTTCAAAGCTTGAGCCGCCGATGACTCCGGGTGCCAAAAGCCTCCTAAAGTTCCTTGAGCATTCCGAGGTCCTCCCTCCTGCTGGAGGCAAGCCAGTATTAGAAATCTCCGTGAGTCATGTGTGGCCGAGAAGGTGAAATTTTCAGACACGATCAGACACAAGACATAAGCTGGTCCAGTGGAGCACGTCCAGGCGCGACCTTTTGGCCATGTTCGCAAAAAAGGAGCCGCCAGGTGCTGCTCATGCCAGCGCATCATTTTAAACGATGACACGTAACTTTTTTGGTCTTTAAGGACTTAATGCCAAATCCTTGCCCTTCATCCCCACCATCGTGTGGGAAGCGGGTGTTGAGCAATGGCTCCACTCGGGCATGTTGGGCATTGAGTTTCTGCTCCGCTTTGTAAATAAGCTGGCATGTTCTCTGCAAATTTTGCAAAGCTTTGCGAAAGGCAGAAAGGGCTAAAATCAATCCGTGCAAGCACATGCCTAAGAAAGTCATGCACATCATGCTGCACGTAAGTGTACACTTGTACATAGGACACTGCCATCCTCTGCGTTTGGTTCACCTATTTAAGATTGCACAGGATTCCCGTATGTCATTGCAACACATAAGAACACTTCGCCAAGCACCAAAAACAACAACGATGCTGAAAAACACGTATATATTTTTCTATCCAATGTACATGTTGCTGGAGTCTAGAGGTCAACTCTTGTCCGTAGACCAGAAGGCAATCTTGTGGGGCAGTGCGTGCAGAGACCTGAAATCTCTAATATGCAAGTTTGATGCCACAGATTTTTCGTGCCCATTGGCGTTGCAGCAAGGCCGTTCTTGTGGCGTACGCTGAGCAATTGGGATTCCGGCAGAGTCTGGAGAGCGCGTTGCGTGGCAGTGGAGGTGCGGGACGTGCGGGATAACTTGTCATTTGAAAGACGAAGATTTCAAAACTTTGCAAAGGTTTCGACAGGAACGCGGAACTCCAGTTGGTTCATGTGAGTCGGTAAGCTTTCCGGGCTTGGGCCGTGGCACCGTCAGCAAGGAAGTAGCTCACTAATGCCACGGGCTGCAGGAACAGACGCCACAACTTGCCATTTTCTGATCCATGTTCGGTTCAGGCATGCATAGCTTTAACGCAGAATTTGCATGCTGTCAGGCATCTGCCCCACAGAGGGGCTGTGGGAGAACAAGGCCGTGACAGCGAACACGAACTTCCAGTTTGGAGCTGATTGTTGTTTGCCTCCAAGAGACAGATTCCGTAAGTCGTGACTCAGTTTTTTCGCGTTGCTTCCAGGGACACCGAAGAACCTCAACTCTGAATGTATCTACCTTCCTCTACCACGATTCAAAAACCGAACCCAAATGATACCCCGGAAATTATACAAGTGTTGAGCGCCTACCCTCACAAGATCAGCAGTCCCAAAGTCGAATTGCTCTCTTGTTGGAATTGCGTTCAACTCCTATCGCATTCGTCTCCCAAACCCCATGAGCCTAAGCAAAAACAGCCAGTAGATGTACCGTATGCACGCTTGACAGGGGTGCGCTCCGATTTCTTCCGACCTGAAAGCCTGCAACTGCTCGGACTATCGCGCGTGCAAGAATGCGACCAAACTGCCAGGAAATGTACTTGGGCTTTTGACCATGTAGGGTCTGTGTTTAGCTCTCAACTTTCCAGATTTGTTGGTGATAGGTGGAGGCAGAAGGCTGATTGAGGTTGTTGAGTGAGATAGGTGGGGCATTCCGGGGTGGCAAAGGACTTCAGGTTTCAACAGAGACACGCGGACGCCCACGCGCAAGGCGATCATGTGAGAAAATACGACTGCTAAAAGGTCTGCTTGCAAAGAGGGCCCTTGACACACCCTTCTCAGAAGGCGCATGCAACCATTGCCTGAAATCATCACACGGCAAAGTTGACGCCGTTTCGACACGCGCCACAAGATTTTGGTTGAAGCCGCTTTGCAGGACTGGAGGAGGAACTCACACGAGGTTCTGCAATGCGGCTCTACGCTGGCAGCTGCGAGCAGCCCGCCTAACAGTGCCCAACACCTCGATCCCACGCGTGGTTGAGATGAGGGCTCACCAGATCTTGCTGCTTGCATAGTGTCAGCATAAGGTACAGTGGCAGGTCGGAAAAAATCGCTCTGGTCGTGATGTTAGGGGTGACTGTGGCTTGGATAGCAATTTTGTTGGAGAGATCCTCGTGGATAAGCGGCCCATGAGCCATTTCAACTCGACGCTTAGAATCTTAGAAGCCGCACTGACAAAGCTGCCGTCAACCAAGGTCTCGCTCGGTTTGTGGCATCTTGCTTGCACGAGAGAATGCAAGAATTCCAAACCAAACCGTGTTCGGTTTACATGTGAAGCCTGCATTTGGCGTCCTTCACTGACAGATGCTTTCAAGTCCCAAGATTCAGAGGATGAGACGGTCTGGATATGCTCAACCTTGTAGACGGTATTCCTTTTAGCAGATTCTTGTCTTTCTGCTCCAGGTGCGCGGTGCAGAATCATGTCCATCGGGGCTACTTGGATTCTCCAAAACTTGGATGCATGGTAAAGGAATTGTTGGCTTCTTGTAGGTGCAGTTCTAGATTACAGTAGGGTTCTTTGAGGTCAAGCGCTTGGGCCGCAGGACGTATGCGATAGTCTCAGCGCTGATAAAAGCACGGGTTCCCGTTGTTTGATCAACCTTTCGGACGGGGGGGTTCCACAGAGATTTATTTCCATAAAGGAGCTTCCGGGTGCAAGGTCCACCACACATGTGGCTCAGCTTTGCATCTGCCTTCATGGAGGCAAGCAAATGAGCTTCTCTCTGGATGAGGAGGAGATGAAAGCAGAGACTCCAAAGCAACAAGCTGTGTTAGGGTCACCCAAGCGGATGCTGTCTGGTAAGTGGGGTCATCTGGATTCTGCGTAAGTGCGACGAGCAGTGCTGGCAGATGCATCTACACTTCTGAGCAGCACAAGCGACAGTCTGCTAGGATCCTGCAGGGTTGAATGCAAGATCTACGATCAGGACTCTCCTACGGAGGCTCATCAGAACGACCAGCCTGCCAACGGAGATGCGAGCCTTTGATTGAGAGCAGGACAGTTTTTCGGCCTCATAGGTCCATTATGTCCTCCCATGAGTTGTCGACGTCTATCAGCTCTGGTCTGTTCTCTCCAGCGCGTTTTCAGATTAAATGAGCCGCTTGACATATTTGACATGAGCCATAGCTTCAACAGATCGACGTTCCTAGAAATTTCTGCGTGCTCAAGAAGGTTTGAGCGAGTCAATTTGGCAAGATGCCGCCTTTTCCGAGCACATGTGACTCTTCAGTTACGGAAGGTAAGCACGCAAGCGCACACACCGAAAGCATGCCAGACCTTAAGCAAATTCCCGTGACTTGGGTAAGCTGAATCTCCTTGAGATGAGGTTACCGAAGCTGTTCGTTTCAGGTTTTGGGTGCAGGATTCAGCGTTGGAGTGGTAGTCAAGTGCAGTACAATGAAGACGGTGGAAGCCTGAGCTGGAGCCACAATGACAAGATGACTGCAAAATCGCTTCCAAGTGGCATAAACAAGCTTCAGAACAAGAATGCTATAGATCCGATAGTAGCATACTGCAGTCAGAATAGCAGAACTGCTTCTGCAGAGCATAGCTGGTGACATGCCAGCATACAGCAGGCACCGTTCAAATCACATTGCGTTTCACGACATGGTCAGCCACCAAGAAAACATGCCAACATGGTCAACTTGCTGGGTCTCGCTTCGCATGCCCTGTTCATACGGCCCAGTTTGGATTCAGCCTCGCTGTGTTTTGGGCTGGAAAACGGAAGAGAAAAGGTTACATGTCATGATGCGCTGCATACAGTGGCAGGGCTGGGGAGGCCAGAAGGGGCTGCGCCTGCGACGTATTGTGGCTACCAAAACTTGCTTGAAGCCTATTCGTTCTTGTCGATCATTTGCGTCGTGCTTCTGATTTGTCGTTCCTGAAGTCCTTCTAGACGTATCTGTTAGTGGAGGAGACAAGACTTGCAGCCAACAAGAGAAGGCTTGCCATGAAAAGTAGGATGCACGCATCTTGCGGACTCAACCCTGCAACTAAGGCAGGGGGAAAGCAGTTCGCAACCTGACGCTGTTCCCGAAGGATACAAGGTGCGGATGAATGAGTTCGGTGCCCTGGCATTTTGAGGTGTCCATGGCTGTTGGCGACTCGGGTTGAGCATCGTTTCAAGAGGCTTTGGGAGGCCACTCCATGTGAGCTGAAGCAGGCCCATGGTCTTCGGTGGCAGACGGGTAGCAATTAAGGGATGAGGCTCAGGGCTTTCAGTTTGCAACTAGGATCAAATAGGATTTCAATAGGGTAATGGCATAATCCATAAATACGTAAGGGTCCCCTAAAACCCCAAACCCTAAATGATCAGAAAATGCGGCCATCCGGAAGTCTTACCTGCAGGCAACCATACTACCAGTATTGAGTAGCTGAAGCCAGCATCACTTCAGGAGAGCTCATGAAGACAGAGAAGCCCTTTCCGGAGCTTGTCATGGAGGCCAGGAGCCACAACAGGTCATTCCTTTGTTTAGCCCCAGCTTTACAGGCGTATCTTGGGCTTTGTACACAGAGACGTCACAGAGAGGCCAACAGTGGCCAACGGCCAGGATCTTCAAGAATATAAAAGGTGTGTTGATTGTGCAATCCGGGGCTCTTTTTTATTCGAAGCGATGTCATTGCAGCTGAGTGTCGTGGTCTCAGTGTACCCGGATAGCTCCTGTGATTGTGGTGGCCCTTCAGGGGATACCGTATCAGCAATTACACAAAACGCAGGACTAGATTGACTGATGTTTTGCCTAATCGAGTGAGGAACATTATCTAGAAGATCATATTTTGATGGTGACATTTCTTACGAAGACTTCAGATCAAGCTCCGAATAATTCATCATCCAAGACCCTCTGAAATACACCTCACCTCCTGGCCTGGCCCTCACCGTTGCGAAGCCACCGCAGAGGTACTTAAGGGGGGTGAGGAAGAGGTCTGGAACCCTGGCAGGGACAAAATGTCCTTTCACTTGAGACATGTGCATCCGCGTGTCATCTTGCGCAGGGGCCATGCTTCAATAGCATCCGCTCATGCAAACTTGGTACACCTCTTTTTTTGTGCAGAGGAACAAACACAGCTCTTATTGCCTCTCAACATGTCTGGTTGGGTCTAAGCAGCACCTGGACTTGAGCAGCTCACTGAAGAATGTTGATAGCTCAAGCTTGTTCCATTTTAGCGTGCAAGTCTCAAAGGAGCCAGAGCTTTCATCCCCACGAGCTTCTGGAAGCCGGACCAAAAGCCAATCGTCTGGTGGGGTTTTAAGTCTGCTCGTAAGGATTTCTGGCAGGTTCAAGGCCTCGTTGCTTTGGGTAAAGTAGCCGTGATTCTGAGGTCATGAAGATGGCACCTGGAAATACGCAGAATATGAGACCAATCTCGGGCAACATCTACAGATACTGGGTGGCTTGGTCTAAGAAGCTGATGTGTATCTGGCTAGTTTTGAGTGAGCAGGGCGCAGGGAAACTACTAGTAGGCCTGAGGAGCAGATGGCTTTCAGACATGTGTTTTTGATGCTGGCCTTCACCATGAACTTTGAGCACGGCCAGACGTCTTGCAGCTCTTGACAAATCACCTTGTGAGCAAGAGAGCTCTTATTTGATACCTCGAGTGTCAGGCACTTGGCGGGCAAAAGAAAAGCTGGCTGATCTACTGTGGCTTCAGGCAAGATGTCTGTAGGGTCCCCGAAGGCCCTCTGCACTCGAGGGTGTAGCCTCAACTTCCTGCAGATCCAGACACGACTGGCATGCCAGATTGTCATGTAGCGGCATTCTGAAATGTGGAACAGCAATTGCTAACTGCGGAGCCTCAGTTGTATTTACATCCTACTCTTGCAATGAATTGCATGTAGAGCACTCTGTGCTGGTGGCCCTTTCGAAGCATAATGTCCAATTTGCATCAGGTTCGTTCTTCTAATCCAGCTCCTGGTCCCTGCAGCTATATGCCGCTGGTCATACTACCAGTACGTTCCTGGACTGCAGCTAGTTTTTGCTGAAGACTCGCCAGCGACAGGAACGTGATTTCCATGTTACCCGACACGTGCGCCTCCCAATGGGCTGGACGCTGGCAAGCGTCAACAGCTTGAGCAAATCGAGCTCAGATCTATCCATAAGAAACTCGATTCGCAGCTTTCCAGAACTGTTTGAACATGGATGTACTGAAGTTTCACTTTAGTCCGACCTCAGGCCACAGCCATTTGCAAGCGACCAAGGACTGGCCAAACACGGAGATTCGCTTTGTCAGGTCCTCGGTACCGCTTCTTCTTTCAGGCATCAGCAGGAAGTGTGCAAGTACTGTGACTGACATGGAAAGGCTGGGACTAATGAAGGTCATGCGAATGTACTAGATTTCACATGCGTCAGAAACGTGAATGAGGCGGAAACTTGCCCGTAGATGCCCTCAGCTTTTTTCTGTTGATTTGCCAAAGCTGTGAAAGCGACGAGGTGAGGTATGAGTTTGGCGACTTGGAGTTCGGCGTCTCTCACGTAGTGAGCAGGTTGCTCTCGTTTCTGTTCACCTACTGCATCTCCTTGCACGCTTTGTCCATCACAAAGAAGGAGTTTTGGCTGCGTTGAGGTAGGGGTAGGGACAAGAAGGTAGAACCCTGATAGTGTCGCGCACATCTTCGAGGCACAGCCCAGTGCGCCCTTTGAGACTCGGGTTTGGGGTTTGAGCGATTTAGGGTTTTGGGGTTTAGGGTTTATGGCTAGGGGCTTAGTGGTTTCGTTTGGGAAGTGGAATTCCTCAATCCAAGTCCTACTAGCTGCTGTTCATGGGTGCCAAACTATGCACCTCAGCCAGCCATGTTTCGTTTGAGCCCTCAATATTACGAGTGAGCGAAAGCCGTGCTAGCAATGCAGTACGCGATTCCTAATTCCAAGCTGAGTCCACAAGTTAGGTACAGCGGATTTTGATATAGCTGATCGGCGCAAATGCAATTGGCGTCAAAGGGCTCTCACGGCTGACGGGCTCAGGCCTGCAGAGGAAACTTTTCCCTCTTCCTTCTCATCAGCAACTTGCCAGAGTCGATCTGTGTCCCACAATCGGCATACCTGTTCCTTGCCTGGAAAAATGCTGGGAAGATTTGCATTGGGTCAGATCTGCAACGCATCCTTTTTTTATGGTGTCCCCTCTGAGAAGGTCTGGGCGATAGGCTCCCAACGATAGGCTTCCAAACTGGTACGTGCCCCTTTTGGAGCTGGTCAGGTTCCTGTTCTTGGACGGCTTCATGACGTGCTACTTGACAATGACGTCCTTGCTTGCCATGGCTCCTTGCCAGGAAGGGTACAAGCCGGAAAATCAGCAAAGGCGCGGCTGTAGCATGAAGCAACGCGGCCCCAGTATGTCTTGATGTGTCAGTTGCCACAACTGCCCGGACAAGGGGAGGCTGATTTTGATTAGCACGACTTATTACGGCGTATAAGCAGGCAGAAGACGGGCTCTCCTGTCCCTGGGCATTGAGGCAGACGCTCCCTCCAGGCTGAAACCCTGAAACCTCGTGCACCCAGATGGAACACACGTAGATTAATTTCATTTAATTTCATAGCCAAACAAGCCCCCCAAAGGGGTGCACAGCAAAGGTGTGCAGCGGTGGTGCCGAAAAAGAGAGCCCTGGAAAGCCAACCCCAATCCGCTGGCCAGAAAAGGTCTGAAGGGGTAAGAAGAATCTTGAAACATGAAATCATGCTGATCGACCGTGTCTGCCTTTTGGTGAGGTGCTGGTCTTCAGCTTCGCGGAAGGCCCCAAAGACATTTGCTTCGATGCCCTGGGCCTGCTCTTCATCCTTCGCCTACATGAGGCCGCTCCCCAAGCTCTGCAAGCCTCGAAAAGCAAACCCACCCGCTTGGACCTGCTTCACCCACATTGCAGGTTGATGGCGACCTGGATTTCATCTCGACGCAGGAGATGAGAGCTGTGCATTGAGAGACATCAGTCAGGTTCTGGGTGAGAACTGAAGGGGAGAAATCGGCATGTGCAACCGGTTGCCATGAGGGGGGTCTGCATCAAAGTGAGGGAGGCAGGCGCCGGTGGACTGCTTGCTTCCTTTCCTGTCCTTTTTTTGGTGTCTATTTTTGGTGGACACTTTGGTCCCTTGCCTTTTTGTGTCTCGTTTTAAAAAATGCAATGTAACATTTTGTTCGACCTCCCCCTATGTATTCGAATTAAGCGTGCCCATGCTACATTTATTTGTGCATCTTAGTCGAAGCGAACATCCGTGCTTCAGAACTATGATTCTGATCATCGCCGTCAGCATTGCCGTCCCTATCATAAACTCCATTGCAGGAGTTCTGTTGCAGCTGCCTGGATCATGACTACCCTCTTCTTGAGTTTCCCTAAGGATGTGATTTTGCCGTGTGTGTCAAATTGAGTTTCTCTGTACTCTTGAACTGCAATGTAGGTAGTTTTCGCAGACATCATCACTTGAGAACTACCATTCATCGATATTCACCTACATTGACAAATTATTCCTTGCACTGCAGGCTGAAGCGGGTCGTTTGGTCGTTCCAAACTGGGATACTCCTGACAAGGCCTTCAGAAGAGCTGTGCCTGATGTTCATGCTTTGCTAGGACTTTGACTCAGACCGCGTTGGGGAGCTTTGCCATTACGTCCTCTCCTGCAAAGCGCTGAGGAGCTTATGGCACTGAAGAGTGATGACTGCTAAAAACCGCACCCTGCACAAGCAAAGACCCTACATGACAACAAAATCATGACTCCACGCCTTGCAAACAAAAGGGGCTCGTGAGACCTCTTGCTTAACATAACATAGTTTCGAGGTCGGCCAGTCCCAGGGTTTCTAGACCACAGCTGCAGAGACAGGAATGAGCGTGAGATGGAAGACCGAGTGCCCTTGCGATGGACACTCTTGTGGGACATGATACTCGGCTTCAAAGTAAATTTCACGACGTCAGGCACCAGAAGATTCCGCCATAGACCATGTCAACATCGTCGAGTATCACTTGGATTTCCTGACTTTGACCTGTATGTGGAACATGCTTGCAGCTGGCCCTGCAAAATCAGATTGGCATTCACGAGCTGCACGTAATCAGTAACTACGAATCAGTGTCTAACATGTTCGAGCCACGAATCACGAACTGGAAATCTGCCGAACTATGAACTACGATGTCCAGATCAGCAACTACAGTCCCCGAGTCAGTAAGTACAATCCCAAGGCCTATCGACACCAGCCTGCACGCCAGCAAGTGCAAGTCTGTTGTGTATGCCGACAAACTTCAAACCCCAAACTCTACACAACCCTGACCTTACTTTATCCCAAGCTCCGAACCAACCGCTGCAACCCCCAACCCTAAACATCCCCAGGCCGCCCAGTTCCACAACCCGAAACTATGAAAGTTAAACGCTGTTGGACCTCCCCTACCCTCCCTAGGGTGTTGCCGCCTTTGGTTGCCCGTGCATGGCTTTTGTTTTCTAGTGCCGCGGTTTTGTCTCTTGATCAGCGTTTTCGTTTCAGCAGTTTCAGTTGCTGATTTCATTGTAACCACTGGTTCACCTGTTTTAGCTACTGACTCAGTCGCGCTTAGTTGACAATTCGGACGCTGACGGATTGCTGACGGCCTGAAACGGCCATTCCTTCAGTTGCCGTCTTGTCAGGACAGAGCTGTTGATCTACTGGATCCTCATGCTTGTACCCGTCTCTCCGCCTTAGAAGTTTGCGTGGGTTAGAGTTGCTGACTGCGCAAGAAGGTGTTTTGTCTGGCTTGGTCTTGAGCCCAAGGCCAGAACGCTCAGCGTAGTCATTTGTTCTGTTCGCTGCTAGACAGACATAGGCGAGCCAAGACTACCACAAGCAGAAGGCTGAATCGCCTGGAGCCACATGTTCAATTCACTATATTCATTCCTGGGTCGCAAAAACTAATAATTCCACCAACCTACAGACCTACAGCTCAGATTTCTTGGTGCGCTGTTTCCAAGTAGTTGATCTCAGGTCTTCCAGCTCTTTGTAGTGGATGGTCTGGTGCTACGATCTTGGGCTTGCTTATGAGTTCATGGGGGCTGTTTCCAGAATCTGTACGCACGCTGCGCAAGGATGCAAAACTACTGTAGCACAGTCCATTGCTGCACTTAGTGCTTTCGCGCTGTTGTCCAGCCTTCCTTGTGCTCAGTGTGGCATGGACTCTGGATGGCAAACTTTGCTTGGCAGCATGCTGAAACCTTGAACATTTCCTTGCATGATGCAACCCTCGCCACCCTTGTACTCCCATGAACGCTGCCACCGACGCAAGGATCCACTGGCCTCTCTGTTGGCGTGCTCGGAGCCCACATTGCGCAGGAAGAGGCACGCATTCTAAGTCTAGCACGCCGGTCTATTGAGAAGAGAGCTCAAAGTGAAGGATACTTTGCGTGCAGTCCTGCATTTTTCTGTGCTTGCTGGGGTATAATGTAGTGGCAGGCGAGCACGCGCTCTCAGAGCATGAGCCTTTCTAGCTTGAAGCTACCTAGCCCAAAGTGGTTTCTGCCGCAATGCGCGCCCTCGCAATGCGTGCCTCCTCAACGCACATGACCACCTGTAGAGCGGAATGCAGATATCTGCAGAGCACCTCGAAATAGAGCTTCCATTGCAAGTTTCTTTTGTTACAAATGCACTGTCCGAGCTATGGAAAGCCTGGAAGCCCAACCGCCTTGATTTTCAAGCAACTGGCGGAGTGAAGCCCTACCCCAGGGCTCGGACATGGTTGGGGGCAGGGGTTGAACACCTCCAAGCGTCCGCAATCGTTCGCATGTGTTGTGACGCGTCCTAGACCCCTCCCTCGTAACTGCCGTCTCGTGTCTTGATCGCGAGTCAACAGTGTCAACTGTGGCAGGGACATGGGCCCTGGGGGTCGCCATGCTTGCTAGCGTTTTCATCGTTTGTTGACAGTACAGTCACAGAGATGAAGGCCCTGGGGGTCGCTATGCTCGTATCCGTCGTCGTTTTTGTCAAGTGCAGTGGCATGTGCCGAGTGGAGTTTAGAGCGGAGTGTGGAGAGAGGAAAGTCGAGAGATGAAAGTGGAGTGGAAGGTGGTGGAGTGGAGAGTGGATTGTGAAGGGTGAGTGGAGATTAGAGTGCCTGTGTTCTGTGTGTCGTGTCGTGTGTGATGCATTTAGATTTTACTCTACGTAACTTATATGTGGCGTGTCTGCATTCGGGTTCGTGGCTAATATCAGGTTTTGCCAGAGGAAAGCACTTGAACGCCTCCTGTCAGTGATGGCAATAGTGCAGCCTCAGGCGCGCCTCTCGATGTTGGAAAGCCACGGGCACTGAGATGGGCTTGTCTCAAGTGAAGCTCCTGTGTTGGCCTGGGTCAGGATTTCAGCATTCGGGTTTGACGGCTGTGGTATTCTGGAAATTGAGTGTACTCCGGTGGTCATTCTGTGAAATGGCTGAACCTTTGCCGGAATTGCGTGTGTCACGTGAGCTGTCGACTGGGCAGCAGCTTAGCGATCTTGAGAGTCTTTGATCAAGTTGACATGTTGAGAAGCAAAGGCGCCAAAAGACAAAGCCTGCTTGGGTTTGCTTGGCCTGGGCATGGTCATTTGAGATATTTGAGTGATGAAGCTCCGCAAATGGGAAGGGCCACAGACCACAAAACCATACAAATCAGCCATTCGCAGCTGTTCTTGCCTCAAGGGCAGGGCGCTGCCATCTGCGCATGCCATGGCAATAAGAGAAGGTCTTGAACGTGTGCTTGAGGAGCAACTGGTGTAGTCTGATCCATTTGTTCCTGGAACACCAGAAGGTTTGCATCGGCAGGATGTGGACTGTTGAATTTTCGTATCGAAGAAAGGTTGCATGTTTGGACCCTGTCTTCCAGGAGCTTCGACTCACCCAAGAGGTGCAGCTGGCAGCAGAGAAACAGCAGCAGTCTCTGAGGAATGCCACTGGGTGCAGCAAGGATACTGTATGCCAGTCCTCGGAATTTGGAAGTTCATGTTCGCTGGTCAGCGACGGCTGCGAAGACTTGGCAATCTTGCAAGCCTAATCCGACCCTGGGAGCATAAACGTCTTCAGTGGAAAGATCACGCATCTGTATTTCTTCATCCAAGACAATAGTCTACGATGTGATCCAAGGCCATCCAGCGCCATCGCGACGAGCTCTTGCAATCGTTGCCAGAGCTACTGGAGGCATCCGAGCAAGCGAGGGTGAATTCCTCTAAGTTCTAGACCCTCAACCCAAGGGTACAGCCTAAAACCATGGCCCACGCCGTCTACTCAGCAACTTACCCTAAACCCTGAGCCTTAAATCCAGCCTTAGAATCCTGTTAGACTATACTTTGGGTGCGCAGTTCACAGGTTTTGAGGTTCAGTTGTTTAGGGGTTTAGGGATTTTGTATGAAGTTGGTATTCATTATCATAGTCCCCTAAACCGTAAACCCGCAGTCAACCCGCAACTGCAGGAAAGTTGTTTCCGAACTGAGGTCCTGCTGTGAGAGAGGCTCAATGCAAGATCATGTCTGAACCAATTTGTAGGGATTCCCACTTTGGACTCAAGAGCTTTTGGGGATTTGGCAACAATTGTGCATCTAGTTTGGAGCGCTTCTCAAGGATCATCCTGTCTTGTCTCAGGTAGCGGCAGCAGGAGATCTCTCCCCTCGGAGTGCACTGAAGAAAGAAGCTTCAGAGCCCAGGTTTGGGGTGCCTCGGGCTTGAAGTTTTATTCAGGAGTTGCAGACGGGAGAAGCTCTTTCCTGCAGCAGGGCTTTAGAAGAAGGATCCTGGATTCGCAGATCTGCCAAAGAAATTTCAGGAACCCCTTCTTGGCAAACTCATTTTTTGGCATGTCTGCCCCCTTTTTCCTTGTTGAGATGTGCATCCCCTGAATCTGGAGGCTAGCGGCTAGAACCTAGAGCCTGCACCCTCCAAAACCGAACGCGAGCCTAAGGTGGCAGTTGCGCTCGAACCGAAAATTGGGGCAGCAACTCCAACAGAGGTTGAGCTTGGAGAGCCTCTGCTGATCAGATAAGCAGTACGGCGGGGCCGGACTTGAATGCCAAATTCCTCGATAAAGGCATGTGCGAAGCATTTGTCCAAACTGTATGATCGAGCGGGGTCTGCTGCCGGACAGGATTGAGGTCGCTTGGCCTACCCCCCGTGCATTGCCTTCTGAAAAGCTTCTAGTGCCTTTTTTAGTTCGGCGTCGAGACAAGAAGCTTCCCTTGATTTACCGAAATGAGCCAGGTACCAAAATGTTTCGATTAAGTGGCAGAAAGTTTTAGGGAACAACATTTCTGAAACAAAGCATGGTTGGCTCAGTCTTGGATTTGCCGCTAGCTATTGGGGACGAGCCCTGTCCATGTATTGTGCTGTTTTAGGAACGCTCAAGCGAATATTGCATCAGACGGAGCCAAATTGCGCGCATCTCCTGGAGTCGGGGACCCCACAACATTGCAAGCGGCACGTCTTAGCCTTCAACTAGGATTACATTGGGATGTGGCACCCTCGCAAGAGAAGTACTTCCAGCTTGCTTGATGGTTCTTGAAGCCTAGCCGAGTCCATGCAGCATGGGTCAGTTTAAAGTTGCCCAGCTTTCTCCTCTTTCATCCTGGGCCCACGATATTTGCAGCAGCATGCAGCAGCTTACGCCATCTTCATCCAGATCTGTCTGAATGGTAGGTTCAACCCTAAGGTCCACCAGGCATCCGAAAGCCCCACTTTGATTCACTGTCAACTGAAGGAGCAGCTAGCTCCGCTGAGCCACACGGACAGAGTCGACCCTAAGTTTTTGGGCAACTCTGCCATGGCAGCGCTATCGGTGACAGCTCCATGGCTCAAGTGGGTGTTTTTGACGGGCTGAGAGGCTGGGGGTTTGTTCGCCCAAGTGGGCTTTGACAGCGCAGACCGTCGTCAATACATAGAGGCCCACGCAAAGGGCATGGCTGGTAGAAGTCTTGAGGCCACACAGAGCCAAAAAACACCAGTGCTACTGCACATGTCCCGCAAAATCATTCTCCATGCAACGGGAATTCAGCGTGGAAGCTTTCTAGGTTTTAGTTAGTTTGCTTGCAAGGCTTGCGTTCACTGAGGACCAACCAGCGATGCCCGAAGAAATGGATTCCGATCCTCCGACATGTCCGATGTCTGCGCCACAGGAAGATCACCCGGAGGTGCGCGAGGAGGGAAGCCCCGGCCAAACCAAGCCCACCCCTCCAAAAGTACAACCAGGGAATAGTTTTTTTCACTGGCAGCGCGTTGCTTATTCTACACTTCCTCATTCTCGCCTTCACGTATCTGAGTGTGCTACCTTTGGTGTAGGCACATGCCCAACCTTCATTTCCAGATAAGGCCATGTGCAGGTCCACTGCCCGCGCTTGAAAGCAGAGAGTGTTACCCTGAACAGTGCTCTAGCGCAATCAGGCCTCTAAGCATGCATGGGTGAACGTGAATGGCGACACAGCATGTTGCGTTTCTAGAAATTTGGCGGTGGCCCTGAGAGCATTGTCCTGCGAAGCTTATGCACCTGTGCCGATCACGCTGTTTATGGGTTGGATGGGGGGGCACCGCCAAGTCCAACTCGATAGCCCTGAGGCAAGTAGCAAGGCCATTGCCGAGAAAGATGATGCCAAGGGCAATGACATTTATGGCGCTCTGTTCGCGACGAGCAGGACGCGATCAACCATCAGTGGCCTGTCTGCCAGTCTGCGTGCAACGTTTCAGTTTTGAGACATCGCAGTTTTGAGACAGGCTGCCAGGCGGCTTCAAGGCTGAATGGTTTAACAAACTGCGGTTACAGGAGCATGTCTTGTTTCAATGAAGGCCGCCTCGTTCTGACTGCTTCCCAGCTGCTCTCAATGGTTGAAGTTTCCGTTCATACAGCATCCTGCTATGTGCTTCTATCCCCTGAGCTTTGTACCAGTACTCCAGTACTCTGAAATGGTGAAGGCGCTAGCTGGAGCAGCTTAGACAAATCTGCTTGAATTGACTCAGGCAAAGGAGGAAGGAAGTCAGAGAAGGGCGACCCCAATGAAGTCAGGGACTCCTGGGCCGCTGCGGAAATGCTGCAGACGCTCGCATCACTGGTATGGCTGTGAGCTTACGTGTGCAAGTTGGATTTTGGTGAACTTCGGGCGGGCGAGGCTACAGTGGTTTTTGTATGTTTTTTTTTTTTTTT